TTTCAGAGAGTCCTGGGAAATAGGAACTGATACAAAATGTGGTAAACAGAATCAGAAGAACAATTCATACAATAAAAAAAAATGCAGTAAAGAAAAACTACTTTGAAAGACTTAAAAACTCTGATCACAACAATGACTTTCTAGAGGATATATGATGAATCATGTTATCCACCTCCTTCCTGACAAAGGTAATGGACTCAAGGTAAGGGAGTATACACTTTTGGACTGGACTACTGTGGATTTGTTTTGTTTGAATGTAATAAAGGTTTTGTAATAAACGTTTTCTCACTCTATTTTTAATGGGTAAGGGGAAGGATTAGAAAGAAAGGCAGCAATGGTGAAGGCAAAAAAAAAAAAAGAAAGAAGGAAAAGAAAAAAAGAGCCAGGCCGTTAAAACATTTTTAAAAGTGCATAGAACATTATGGAATTAAATTCAAAAGGAAGCACAAACCAGCACGACAGTTATGAAAGTAACAGGCTGACTGTGGTTTTTTTTTTTTAAAGCAAGGATGTAAACAATAAGGATTCATGATTTCATATACATTCCTCATATTCTACTTGGTATATGGAAGTGTTCATTTTGGGGATATTTGTTAAGTTAAAAAAAATTTTAAGTAATAAAATAATTATAGAGAGATTATACTTTAACAATATATTAATTGTGAATATTTTATTAAATTTCTTTCCAATCAAATAAATCTTTCATCCACTGATAAGAATATAGAATATTAGGACCTACTGGTATAAAAGTGACTGACCTAGGCTAAATCTACTTGGAATTTAAATATTTTAATAAATGTCCCCAATACAAATAATGGAAAAATAAAGAGTACATGTGGTTTAAGCAACAGCAAAGAGATCAAACTACAGAGAATTCAGCATCAGACAGCAAAAGATCTGTAGTGGGAACAGCACTACTTTAATGAAAAAAAAATCTAGATAAGGATGTAGATAGCAACCCCACAAATATTACTGATGGAATTAAGATACTTTAGTACTAGCAAACAGTGACCAACTACATAAGATTAAGATCACTGGAAAGATCACTTAATGGAAATATTACACTTGTGATTGTTTAAATGTATTTGCAAGTATAGTCTTAAATTTAAAAAATTTCTTAGACAAAGTTCGTTTGAACAAGTCTTAAAAAGCATTTCCATTTATTTGTACCACAATTAAATTTAAAAGCAAAATGAATAATTTTATATTAAGTTTAGTATACTCTGAAAAGGCTTATATACACCCTAAGTTTGAGATGGTGTTGACTCCATGTACTTAACGCCAGTTAACATTACCTCCTTGCTGTCTTTTGCACATGATACCATGTTCTCCTGACTCTGCACCTTTTTGCTAACAGTTCCCCATGCCTGTAACACTCTCCCCTCCTCTTCATCTTCAGGCTTCCTTGGCTTCCTTCAAGTCTCAGTTAACATCCCACATTTGCAAGAAGCTCTTCTCAAGTCCTTTTAAATATTTATGCCTTTCTTCTGAGATTACCCTCAATTTATCCAGCTTATATCTTATTTACAGTTGTTTGCATGTTGTCTTCCCCATTAGAATAAGAGCTCCTTGAAAGTGGGGGCTTTTTTTTTGCCTTTCTTTGTATCCCCAGCATTGAGTACACTGCCAAGCACATGGTAGATGGTTAACATATGCCAACTGATTGACTCTTGGGCAAAAAAAGAGAAGAGATTGAAGATGCTCTCCCTTCAAGTTATTTAACACAAACATATTTAATTTGAAACAAAACCAAATTCATTTATTATTTGCTGGACACAGATCTAAGTCAGGAAAATCACAGTAGTTTACTCTCTAACACCATGTTTTGCATTTCTATTATACCCCTCTGCACTCAGCACAGTGTCAATTTAGAGAAACTGCTACTTGACACTTGTTAGCTTAAGAGATTACAAATAGAAAAAAAAATCATATTACCAGGTGCCAAATGGCATCTTCAAATGTATTGTGTCTATATTTTGCCTCAGCAAAGTGAGATTTTGTTTGTTTTATTTGGGTGGGATAGTGGGAGGAAGTAGGGAGGTTTCAGGCCAATGACTCAATAAGGATAAGGAATTTCAAGTGATGAAACCTTTGTTTTACCACGTTAACGGACATGATGAAAATAATCTAATTGAATAAAACTAGTTTATTATAACTCCTCTACTCTTCCTTTACTCTCTTATTCCCCAATCCTGACTACCTTTCTTCCACACTATGAGTAGGAAGTATGACAGAAGAAATCAAGAAAACACTGGATTCCACTATCACTCCTTAGTGGTATGATGGCAGTAAAATATTAGCCAATATTAGCAACTTGTTGCAACCTCCTATGCTAAAAGGAAGCCTGTACTCATTACTTACTGAGGCAGCTACTCTACTTTTGGACAATTCCAGCTATTAAGATTATTTTCTTTATACTGAGCCTAAGTTTGCCACTTTGTAGCTTCTAACACAAATTTGTCTCCTGGAGCTACCCAGAATAATTTAAATCCCTATTCCACATGACAGCTATCTTCAAATATTTGAAGCCCTAATCATCTTCAATTCTCTTTTTCAGGATATTTTTTAAAAACATACCTCATTCCTTTGACCAAACTTCACATGGCTCAGCATGTCCTTAGCAACCCAGCAGCTATTCCTTGGACATCCTCAAGTCTGTCACAAACTCTCAAAGCATGTTGCTCAGAACTGAAACCAGTACTCCAGATGTCATCTGACCAGTTCAGGGTATATTAACACAAGTACACACTCCCTTGCCCCAACATTATATTCCTATTAATACCATCTAAAATTATATTAGCTTTTTGGGCAGCCACATAATACTTTTAAGTTGGCAAACAAATAAGACCACAACTCTTAAATTAAATCTCTACAATCTTGTAGTAGTGTGGCTTATTTATTTTTAACTTAAGTTCAAGACATTTGCCTCTATTAAATTTCATCTTTATCTTGCTTTACACTATGGATTTAATGTTTGTTAAAATGAAACACTGTATCAATTTGAAAAGATAATGCAGGGTCTTAGTTATGCTTCTGTTTGTGATCTGCACATTTAAATAAATATACATTCTAAGTTTTTGTTTGAATCACTGATAAAAATAATATCAAGCTTAACAGGGCTGAGGACACAGCCCAGTAGAATGCTACTGAAGACCCACCTCCAGGTTAATTTCAATACACTGATCCATTAAGTGACAACTTTCGGAGGGAGTGGGTCAATAAACTAAGAATATACATAACTGCACTATTATCCAGCCTACGTTTCTCTATCTTGTCCACAGGGGTATCATGAAAAGCTGTTGAAAGTACTGCTAAAATTCAGATACCCTAAGTCTACAGCATTTCCTGGATTTATTAGTGTAAAAATCATATCAAAGCAAGAAATAAGGTTAGTTTGGCACGATGTTCTCAGTGAACCTATGCTGAATAAATGAATACATTTTTTTATTTCCTAAGTACTACTTACAACCATGCATTTTTAAAATTAATTCTAGAATTTTGCCATGGTTCAATAATAGTTCTTTAATCCAAAAACTACTTTCCCTCTTTCTCCCCTCTCACATTTTGAAAACTGGGCCATGTATCAATCTCTAATCTTCTGTTCTCCATAATTTCTCAAACAGTTGACAATGGCTTAGTAATCATATCTCTAAGTTCTTTCGGTACCTGGGGGATATAGTTCATCCTCCCCATGTATTTTACATGACGGGTTATTCTCTATTTTCTATGTTACATTATTTCTCCTTCAAAATATAGCAAGGTACTACCACAATTCTGGAATACAATTTCTTGAGAAAGTAGAAAATACCTTCTTCTTAAGAACATATCACCATTTGAAGTAGGAAAAAGACCCTGAAATGAACCATTATCTTACTGGTGTAAGAATGGAGGCTACCTCTGAAGAAATTATTACATGTGGGTAAGAAAAGGAGTAAGCACAACTAGACACATCAGAAACTTTTTTATGAGATCATTTGTTATGCAATTCTTTTGTTTGTCAGAGATTATCTATATATGTTTTTTCAAAGTAAGATGAAATTCAAGAGGCATTTCTGCAGATCTGTCAAACGGTGAATTTTGTTTATTTTACAGCTTTTAAATAAGAACAACTTATTCACAGAAAGTAGGGAATAAAGCTAACAGGAGGGGTCAAGAAACATATTCCAGTGCTGACTTTCCTAAATAAATGAACTGCAGTAGTAAGGTTCACTAGCATAGTTTTTTGGTAAGGCAGGAGCCAGCAGTTACAATATAGCAGAACCAGTATCTCTTTTTAATGATACATGTGCAGAAGAAGGTAGCCTCCTTAAAGGCTGTTGTCACTTAAACTACCCTAAAGTAAAAATGACCTACTTAAAGTTAAAAGTAAAAAGATATAAATGTGCATGTTTACATTGGATAAACATACATTCTCCCAGGAAAGCCTAAGAGAAAGTTATAGAACAAGACCAAGAACAAGTCTAATAAAAAAGGAACAGGAGACAGGGGAAGTAGGGGACTACCCAACTGAGTATAAATCTTTTTTAGTATAAATTTGTGATTTTACAGATAAGAGGACATCAACTTTGAAGATTTTTTTTCTCTAGAGTGCTACTTTAAATCGAACACATGTTAAATATAAAACATTATGATGTTTTCATGTGAATTTATGAAGTCCTTTACTACTATCAATTTAAAAAAATTTACATTCAAATAACATCACCTGAAATTCTTGCTGGAAAGCTTGACCATGGCCTCAAGAATAAGAATACTAAGACAAAAGCATTCTTCATTATCTGTCTTGAAGCATACATGAGCGGCAGTATTACTTATCCATTTATACTATTCACTACAGAGTTTCTGATTTAACAATTAGTTTGTAGGACACTATTCACAAGTTTTAAGTTAATGTAAAGACTCGAGACAAGAAATAACTATATTTCTATTTACTATTGCCTTCTTCTTATGTAATATCAGAAACCCAATATTATAAACACTTTGTGACTTTATTATATACATACCTCAGTTACTGGTTGCCCCTGATGTGTCAGATCTAGTTCTTGAGGACGTGTCATCTTATCAATATCCAGAGAATCCATGCTGGAAGCTGCAGAAGTGATGCTTGAACGAGATGAATTGCTAATAGAGCGTCCTTCAGCATCACTTACAGTACCTGCAGATGCTGTTCTCCTGTGCTGATTAATCACTGTAGGTTTGGCATCTTCCATTACTGACTGCTGAGCAGCTTCATCCATGCTGAGAGAAGCCTGTTCTAATTGTGCAGTAATATCATCCAAGGAGTAGTTGGCAGGTGAAGGTTTAGTTATCCTATTAGACGAAGAGGACAATCCTTTCAGGGTGCCATGTTTCAAGGTATGTCGGCCAGCAGGTAATTTCATAGCAGCTTTTGTTTCTGTAGTTTGACGCTTACTGTTTCCAGACCCAATGCTACTGAGTTCCTGCTCAATAGAGCAAAGATCAGCCATCAGGGCATCCAAATCCACAGTTTCTCCCTGATTCAGGGCTTCTGCAACAAACAATAATACACATCAGGCTTCTCATATAGGTTTAATTATTGTTTCTGCATTTCATTATTCCCTTTCCTTCACACTAAGTGTATTCCATGTAATAAACCAAAAGATTTCATTCTATTGGATTTAGAACACATCTGTAATGTACATTTTAAAATAACAAAAACATATACATTCAAATCTCAACTATTCACAGTTAAATAATAGCATAACAATATAAAGTTTGGTAGAATACCAGCATGCACTGAAATGGCAAAAGGGCACAGAATAGGAAAACGGGGAGTGAAGGACAATACAGAATCTAAAAAAGTAAAGCACTAGATAATTAAACTAAAGCAACCAGGAAAACTAATAACAGGTATTAATTTTATTGGCCTTTTCACACAGTATTAAGAAATAGCACAATTGGAGACTTCTATATTGTACCTGTATTCAGACATTTAATAAATTTCCTGGAAAATAACTTAAAAAAGTTTAGTTCTACTCATTTATTTTGAGGTAGAAAACTTTTCTAATCTAAATCTAATCTAAACCATACTAATTATCAAATAATATGTAAACAGGAAAATATAACAACTGAATCAAAACACATATACATATTATTCACCTCTTGTTACTGGCTGTCTAATTTTAGCATCATGCAACTAAGCAAAATACTTTTTATTTTTCAGTCTTTACTTACCATTCAAATTGTACATGGAGAAGCGATAAGAAAAATTGGCAATGTTTGTTTCCTGGCGAAGAGGAGATCTTTTTACTGGTTGTGTTGGCTTGTCAGTATCCAAACTCTTTAAAACAGGCAAACAAAACAAAAAATTCAGAAAAAAAAATAAAGTAAATTATGTATTATGTGCAAAATTAGTGATTGCTTCAGTTATGTCAAACATGAGCAAAACTCTCCCTCTGCTTAAGCAGCACACCAAAATATATTTAAAGAAACTACAGTTCAGATAAGCAATAGCCTATCCATTGTTTTAAAATAATTTTCTTCATAAAAAGTTCCTGAAATCTCTCACTTAAAAACACAACAACATTATAATTTAGGGTCATTTAAATTTTGTTGTTGAATCGTTTTCAGCTGTGTCTGACTCTTCATGACCCCGTTTGCAGTTTTCTTTGCAATGACACTGGAATGGTTTGCCATTTCCTTCTCCAGTTTACTTTACAGATGAGGAAAGTGAAGCAAACAGGGCTAAGTGACTTGCCCAAGGCCACACAGCTAGTGTCTTTAGCTTTACTCATATGCAACTCAACAAGTGTTTTATTAAGACCCAACTAGATGCACTGTTTGGTACAAAGGTGATGCGATCTTAACATATGACATACCTTACTGAACTATACTAAATATTACACTTATGAGGAAGATGCATTGCTCAAGGTATTTCCTATCCATATGTAAGGATTATAGAAGGAGTTTCCTGTTCATAAATCAGACCATTCAAATTCCTGAAAGATGTAAGTCTGTTCAGTGTTCTGATACAAGGGAGAAATATGTTCACCAAAAGTATTTGCCAGTGATAAAAACAGATCCAGGACAGAATATAGGTCCTTGAGGGATTCCCTCTGCATGAGGATTGTTTGTTGCAGATGACACATCAGAAAGCATCCTGGAAGAGAGCTATAATACCTACAAAGAAAAGACTGAATGACAAAGAAAGTTCAGATTTCAATGTGTCTGAAGAGACACTCTAGAACTTGTAAAACAGTATGTATATCTAGAATAGGCAACACATATGGACTGTGAAATGGGCCCAAAATTGAAAAGGGGGGGGCGGGGAGGCTAGATTGCTTTCTGGAGATTATAAAGTATTTTTACTGATCTTAAGCTTCCCATTACAGCAAAGGTCCCATTTTAAAAAAAATTACATTTTTATCTTGCTGTAGGCAAACAAGACCTGGAACAACAACTAATGATAATAAACATTATATAGAATATAGTACAGTGGGTATGAGCAGGATGTAGCATACAGTAAGGGACTAAAAAACAGGAATAAAAGAGGTCATCAAAAAATTATGTCACAAAAAGGCAGGTTGGTCCTATGCAGAGAAAGAGGGATGACAGGTGGCCAGCCAAAGTGATCTAAATCTTGTGGTGGAAGGCCTCCATCCCATGGAGTGAACTTCTTGTGAACAACTTTTGGGAAGATACGGACAAGAATCACAAAGGATGGGCAGATACTGTTAAGATCTGTGCTGTTAGGGAGAACTCCCAAATTGATGAGTTCAAAGATCCATTTCAGCGTGAAGGATATATTTTCAAATTCACTGAGAAATCTTTTCCCTTTATAAATAAATGTTAATATTTACCAAATATAATTGAGAGTCTAGGGGAATTGACCAGGACACCTTTGATCAATTTATTCCCTTTAGGCCAGCTGAAAAACCACATAAGTTAAGGAGCAAATAATAAAGACAAGGTATTAGTGTAAAGAAGAACTTACTATCCATCTATGAGTTGTGAAGAAATTCTGTGATCAAAATTATAAGGTAGCTAGCTATTGGTTGTGTCCTTGGTAGCTCTTAAAAAATTGAGAGGCAGGATAGGTCTCAAAGTGTGACTTCTGACAACAGAAAAGACAGCCATCTATGTAAGAAAAACCACTCAGTTCTTGAGGGTAAGGGGAGGGAAAGGTAAGTAAGGGGGAAGAGACTGTCCCACGTTAATATGGAGAATGATTTTTTTCCCCTATAGTTTACTAGTTTTTGTAATGACATCTCAGGAAATGTCCTTGCTTGGAACTGACTGTAGTTACTGGCTAACTATTAAAGATAAAGATAATAGTGAGAGTTTGTGATTTACAGTTTTAAGAGTAAGTACCTAGAGTAAGTACCCTTAAACCTCTAGGTGTAATGACCCCCAGGAGGTTCCAACCTACTGACTTTGTTTTACAAAATCACTAGAAACTAAAATACCCAGCCCTCCCCTTTCTCCCCTCTTCCTGAAATCAGCTGATAACAAGCAAGTAAAGCCACTAGAATACAATGAAGAGTTTTGCTTGAATAGAGAATATGTTGAATGTAATAATAATGAAGAGTATTAACGATGAAGGAATAGGGCCTTAACTATTGGCAGCATAATACAGCAGAAAACCTGCTAAAGTCAAAGACCCTGAATTTACATTCTGGTTTGACCACTTGCTACCTCTATGTCCTTATTTATTTATACAAACTATGGTTTATTTCTATATATATATATACACACACACACACACACATATATATACATATATATATATTTTATGCACATATACATAGTTATATTTATATTTATGCATTCTGCAGGGTAGGTTATACATTCTACAGTTATTTTAAATGGAATCTTTAACTTCTTGCTGAGTTTTGTTGGTGATATATAGAAATGCTAATGATTTATGTGGATTTATTTTATATACATATATTCATATGCACACACATATGCACTCAACTTTGTTGAATTTATCAATAATTTCAATCCAATTTTAACTGATTCTCTAGGGAATTCTAAGTAAATCATATCAGCAGAAAGTGATAATTTTCTTTCTTCCCTCCCTATACTTATATAGTTAATGTCTTTTTCTTACTGCAACAAATAGCAGTGATGATAATGGACAACTACCATAGCATTACCTGTGCACTTCTGCAAAGAATTCTAGTTTATTCTTATTACATATAGTGATGACTCATGGTTGTAGATACATGATTTTTCTTATTAATAGAAGATCCACTTCTTCCTGCTTTGTATTGTCGTTTTTTTAAATAGAAATGAATACTGCAGTTGATCAGGAAGCTTTTTCTTGATCTACTGATGTAACCATATGATTTTTGTTGTTCTTGTTATTGATATGGTCTATTATGTTTACAATTTTTTTAATTTTGAAACAACCCTGAATTCCTTGTATAAATCCAATCTGGTCACAGTTTATGATCTTTTTGATGTGCTAACATTTTACTTAAAAGGTTCATATGCCAATCTTCATCATGGCTACTGGCCTACAGTTTTCTCTCTGATTTACATCTTCCTATTTTAGATATCAAAACTAAATTTGTGTAACAAGAGGGATTTGATAGGAATCTCTTTTCCTTCTTTGGTGAATAGTCTGTGTAAATATTGGAATATTTCTTTGAATATTTGAAAGAATCCACTTGTTAATCTTGTTGTGCTTTCTTTTGCCTGTTGAGAATTCATTCACGTGTTATTCAATTTCTTTTCCTGACATTGGATTATGTAAATTCTCTATTTCTTGTAATAATTTGGGCATTTTTTTATTTTTGGAAATATCCATCCATTTAATTTAACTAGTTTTGTTGGGACACAGTTGGTAAGATAATTAATAAATTTATTTTATTCTTCATTTGCTTGGAATTTTTTTTTCATTTTTGATACTAGTCAGTTGGTTTTCCTCTTTATACTATCTAATAGTTTGTCTATATTAGTTTTAGTTATTTAAAAAATAAGCTCCAACTTTACTAAATTTTTTAGATTTACTGTGATAATGGGGTACAAAAACTTACGTAAGTGAAGAGAAAATATTTATATGGGATCTTTAAATTTCTCACTAACTGTGAAACTATAGAAAATTTTATAAATTTAAGTTTAATCTCCAGAAGACCCTTCATGTTGAAAATAATTTAACTATCTTGGTACTTAAAGCCACTTAAAATATAATAGCTAATAAAATAAAATGCTCACTAGTTCTTAACCATTACTGTAAAATTCATTTTTGCAAAGTACTGAATAGTGTCCACCAGTATCTTAGAGTCAGCATTATATCTGTAGGATTTTTTTTAGAAAAGAGAAAGAATCTTTAAAGTAAAATTTCTTGGACAACAGAAATCAAATGCCATCTTCAACCTTTTCCAAAAGAAAAACAAAAGAAATCTTATTCTTCTTTAAATCCAGACACTCAATAAAAGCAAACTATAGGAAAAAACTATTGTTAGTGGTCTAAATTAATAAGTCAGATATCAACTAAAGTTAGATGCTGACAGAAGTTTGGAAATATGTAAAGACAACATTATTAAATAAAATGATGTGTAATTTTTGTCATTTGACTTGGATCTGAGTGGATTTGCTCAAGCTGTGAAATCCTACCTAAATGACAAGCTTTTAAAAATTATCAAAATGTGATCATAGAGAATTTCCCTTTGTCATTTTCTACACCTAAATATTTTATACTGAAAGATTTAAAAATATTCAAAATTACCACATAAAACCACATATTTCCTAAAGTTACTATTTACGTCCTTTTTTTAGTATGTTTTTTTCTCCTTTTGTGTAATGTTTCTATTTTATTTCAGTTTTTAGCTCACATAATCCTGATTTAATGACTGAATTAATAAGTACTTGACACTTTCAAATCCTTAGCCATTTTCTCATAAACTATTTCTGACCTGTGTAAGTTTGTCTAGCTCCCCAAGCCAAGCTCCAAACATTTTGTCCAGATCCTGATCTTCTTTGTCACTGTCTTCCTCAGCACCATGGTCAAGTTCTTCATCTGATAACTGCTCCATCTGAAATATTAAGAAATTTACCTCAGTACTTTAATTACAAGGAATAATGAAAATTCTAACAAGTTTATTCTTAAACATCACACATTCAGTACATAAGTTTTAAATATATGGAATCAAACAAAACAGGCAAATTAGAAATTAGCTATTTGCTATGAAAGTCTAAGAATTTGAAATGACAGTCAAAAATCTACTATTGTTCCCAGAGCTTTCCCAGCAATCAGATTGTATTTTATTATATGGCAGGGGAAAATGCTAGAATGGGAGTCAGAAGAACTGAATCCTAACATGAGCTCTCCAACACTGTGTGAGACCTTCACTAAGTGACCAGATCTCTCTGTTTATCACATTCTTAATCTCTCTCTGGCTTTAACATTCTGATTTCTTTCTAGATAAATTTCTCTCCCCTAGAGACCCAGGTCCATCTCCAAAACAGGAAGAAAATAAATAGCTTCAGAATACCTCAAATAGGCAAGTCATCATTTTATTTAACCTGTTAGACTCCAAAACAGATAGAGAGATATAGTTGTATAAGCAATTGCAAAGGCAGGGTCAAAATAGCATAATGCCTTGTTTCAATGACCATTTGCTAGATTTCAAAAATATCCTGGTTTTTCTTTCAAACTTTCTTATCCTACTTTACCCTACCCTCACCTTTTACCCTTTAAAAAATCTTCTACATAATCTTTTCACTTCACAATAGCCCCTCCAAATGAAAGGGGAAATAACAAAATTTTAAAATCTTTGAATATATGTGTGTGTGTATACATACACACATACATACATACATACATACACACACACACACACACACACACACACACACACACACACACACAGAGATGTGTATTGCTACAGCTTTGTTACAAATACTTTGATAGGCTGCTAGGTGGCGCAGTGGATAGAGCACCAGAATTCAAATCCAGCGTTAGGCCAGACACTTGACACTTACTAGCTGTGTGACCCTGGCCAAGTCACTTAACCCCAATTGCCTCAAAAAAAAAAAAAGGCAAAACAAAATTCATTATCTTTGGGGGCAGCTATGTGGTGTAGTGGATAAAGCATCAGCCCTAAAGTCAGGAGGTCCTTAGTAAATTTGGCCTCAGACCAAAACACACTTGACACTTAACTACTAGCTGTGTGACTCTGGGCAAGTCACTTAACCTCAGTTGCCTTTAAAAAAAAATACTTTGATAAAAGGAATTTCTTCCTAAACAATGTGCATAACTAACAAGGCATTATAATTAGTTAATAATTCTGATTTAGAGAATAGAAAAAGGGAATAACTAAATAATTTATTTAGACATTCTGCTGTGGTTGTAACATAAAATTATTTTGAATTATTGCTAACGTCCTTCACAATAATATCACCTAATGTAAACTAATCCCTGTTTAATGATGTTAAAATCTAAGGGTTTTTCAACTACTTCTATTTCACAATATGCTTCAAAATGTGGATTTCTCATAGTACACCCAAAGAAAACAAGATCAGAATGATGTCTGGCAAAGCCTAGTGTTCCAAAGTGACCAGATAAAATACAAAGTTGGAAGGTCATTAATGGAGAAGATAGGTTAATGACTGATAAAGCAACAAAGAAAGAAAAGAATTAATGGCAACTTGGCTGTCCAGAAGTAAACTTGGATTAGCTACCTCCTACTAAAATGTCAAAGCATGATAACTGAGAATGATGGGGATGGGATCCGAACCCCTCAAAGAAAAAGACCATGTCTTTGGGATCTGAACTCCAAAACAGAAAATCTCTGGATTTTCTCCAAATCTCTGGTGTTTGCCTGAGCCTGTAATCCACTCAACAGGCCTTTCATTCTGGCTATGCCCAATCTCCCAATTCTGTTCAGTTACCTGACAGGGGACTGCCACTTCCCACCCTTAATCCTATCTAGACTCCATTCTCCCAGGTCCCTGGCATTCTATTCACCCCAGCTTACTGGCCACTCCCATCCAGATTCTCCTTAGACCTTTCCTCCAGTCACTCCAGACTTCTTGGCCACTACTGGATCCCTCCCACAGACTTTCTGTTATAAGAGTCATCTTGTCTCCATTAAGGTGCTCAGATTCATTAAGAGTCTAGCCAAGGGCTCAGATTCTTAAGATCTAGCCTGCTTGCATTAGCGATACAAATGCTTAGATTCCTTAGAGTCTGGCCAATATGGAGCATGTTGTAATAAACCTTGTCTTTGGCTGTAAGAAGGCTTGGGTCAAATTCATTCAGTAGGACCTGGGTGTTGTGATTTTGGGGTCCCAGCACCCCCAAACTTCTAAACCTCAACACTAGGAGTAGGCAAATTTTTTTTAAAAAGTTTTATTTACTGATTAGAGGGGCAGTGTTACAAAATGGACAGGGGGATCTCAATGCCAGTCTATGAAGGTGGGCAAGTTGAACCTATGTAGTGGGAAAAGCTCAGTTTACTGCAATATTTAGCCTTTCACGATGCACTAGTGTGTCCTGATCCATTGGCTGGAGAAGCAGAATCATACCTTGCTTTACTGAGAAAAATCACACAATTTATGTTTCTCAAGAGGAAGAATCTGGGTTGGCAAAATTAGAGGTCTTAGGGTAAAAAGAGAGATACTTTCTGAGCCACATAAAGTAACTCATGTTAGGCACAAACTTGAGAGCATAATGGTTTGAAAGGAAGCATCACCCTACAATTTAATTAATCATAAAATTAAAATAGTCATTTAGCATGATCACCACAAAGTCCTTCCTTGTGCTTCATCACAGCACAAGTTTTGTCAGGTCCTGCTAAGCTTGAAAGGCTTAGTGTACAAACCCAGGGACAAACTAACTACGTATCTAGCAAATAATATTTTTGGCTATACTAGCTCTTCAGGACATCAGCTAAGTAAAGAACTGCATTAGTGAAAGATGGTCCCAAAAGGATAAATCCTTTGAAATCCCACGATCCTTGAAATACTGAGTAAATTATGATTGGTAGTACCAGCTTATCTCTTAAATTTTAAGAAAACTATATAAGAATATGAACTTACTACATGGATAAATTAAGGAATAAGTATCACTTTACAAAAGGACACACAGCAAGTTTCCTTTAAAATGTTTTCCTCCCCTGAATATAAAATAAGACCATTTACTAAAATGGAACTTGCACAGTCTTTTCAGGTACATTGCAACTGTATTCAATCTGAGTCTGTATATTGAACTGAGACAAATGTAATCATATTGAACCTTGATATTTGACAGAATACTGAAGTACAAAGTAGATATATTTTATATTTCATTAAAATAGGGATAGACAGACAGATACCAAAGTAGTAAAAAATTTAAAAGAGAACATACTTTAAAGTCACAGCCACCGCTGACATTGCTATGTCAAGGATCTAGAGTAATCTGTTTCAGGTAGTTATTTATACTGGTATTAAGGAAAGAGTTTGAAAATAAAAATAAAACTATTTCTTAATATATATATATATATATTAATTACTATTAAATGACTATTGCTAAAATGTTGGAGTCTAAGGAATCTGGCTGAACATAAATACAAATTATTGTTCAATTCATAGGAAATGCACCATCACTGCACCACGTAAAAGACTACAAATTTCTAAACACTAATTCTGCTTAAAAGAACCTAGACAATGCCAGGAACACAAACTGTCACATGATCTAAACAGAGAATATTCTCCAAGTTTCCTCAGTAATTACATAGTGCATGTATATATGTGTGTATATAATACATGTACCTGTATAATATATGTGTGTATATATGTAAATGCAGTTATCTCATTAGGAAATCCCTGCCTAAGGCTGAACAAGAACTTCAGACTACCCATCCTTCATTTAAGAAGAAAAATATCATGTAATTACCTCAGTATTCCTAAATCTGTTATGCAATACTTCCAAGAATACTGATAGATCTTATGAAGCTATTTTAAATTTTAATTTAGAAAGAAATATGCACAATATAGAATTCTAATGGACTCTTACAAAAAGAAGACAGGTGGCAACTCTTTAAAAAAATGAGCATCAAATATGGCATACTGCTACAGAGTAAATCTTTTTTAAATGTCTTACCAGGCACTAGAAAGATGTGAAATCTATCACACAGAAGGAAATTTCTGATTATAGACAAATATTCCTGATTTTAAATAGTGACTCAACAAACTTTCAATTAATATATATCAAGTGGTTTGTGTGTGCAAGAAAGATGGGGAGGATGCAAAGTATATATATGGCTCAAACAGTCATTTTATTGGAATATAGGGTAAATTAAGGGAGAATTGGGAGATAAGGTAGACTGGGACCAAATTATTTCTTGAAAGCTAGACAGGAGAGTTTTTTGGTTTTTTTTGTTGTTGTTGAAAGGGAAGAGACTAACATGATCAGACTGAAGAGTTAGGAAAGAAAATTTGGTAGCAATGTGTTTGGATGCATGGGGGGTAGGCAATGGCAGGAGGAAAGAAAAAGTAATGGCAGGGAGACAGCTCAGGAGGGTATTGCAAAGATTTAGGCAAGAGGTAATTAGGATCTGAACCTGGTTGATGGCAAGAAAGAAGAGAAGGGGATAAATGTGAGATACCGATCTGTAAAGTCTCCAGACTGGATAAACGGTCAGGGTCAAAATCAGAAATAACAATGAGATAAGATGAGATCTAAATGTGAGTGGGGGGAAGGAAGATAAAGGATGACAGGGACATTAACATAAAGAAATAAGGAGAAATAACCAGTTTTGGAGAAAAGATAACTCTCAGTTTCTCACCTGAAAAAATGAGGGGTTTGAACTAGATGTTATAAAGTCTATGATCCTATGCATTCAGATTAGCCAAAGAAAATAGTGTGTTTAATGAAAAGAACAGTGAGATCAAGGGACACAGACTCTCCCAGCAGTTCTGCCACCAAATCAGCTATGTAACCTTGGGCCCATCATTTGAACTTTCTAGGTCTCAGATTTTTTACTTGTGAAATGAGAAATGAGAGAGTTAGAATTCTAAAGTTTAGTCAAGTTTATTTCAAGGAGATTTAGAC